ACCGCTTTCACTAATAAATAAAAAAAAATATGAAGAAATTAGTGATGAGACATCGGTTAATTTTCATAATTGATCATCGGTTGGAATTGGTTACTGCTTCTGATGCGATTTCACCGATTATAATCGGATTTCTTCATAGTTTTGTATACAAAAAGCAGACTATTACAATAATTTCATTTATTTCTTTAACATGAATATATAAAATACATAATATATTATTTTCTTTGTTGTTTTGCTTCTTTTACACTTTCTAGACCTAAAAATATTTACAGTGGACACCCAACATGGCTGCCTAGCGGCATAAAACGAACTTCAAAAAGCTGTGGGGGGAATTGATCACTCTATATTTAAGGTAAATGTTGACTAAGTTGCATATTTTATATCTCAAATAAAAGATACAATTAATATTTTTTGAATAAAAAGAATCAGCTGATTGATCAAACCAAAGAGCAAACACAGATTTGGCAGAAAAAAAATTCACCCGGGGGTAAATTGAATGGGTCGGTCGGGTTATTACAGGAAACAAAAATAATTTTTTTTAGGCCCTATATATGCATCTTCGGTTCTTAATCACCTCTGCTTCGTGCTAGTTGGCTAGTATCAGATGCAGATGCCATTTTCTTTCATTAAGAAGAAATAAATTTTAAACCAGAAATGGATAATTCCGGAATGTATTGTATTAGAAGTATGTTTCCGATGATCGATTATGAAAAACTATAATCGATCATCGGAATCAGTAGCATTTTTTTTGTCGACAATCGATGTTTTCTGATTATCAGTACAACACTAGAAGAAATTCCACGAACTTTTGGATCAACCCTCGTACATGTCAGTCATTAAATTTATATAATATACAGTATGCATAAGGGAGACCAAATGTATTATTACTGCATTAAGGAGACCAACTACTATCCACATGTAAATCAGTATTCAACCACTTTCACTAATAAATAAATAAAATATGAAGAAATTCCATGAACTTTTGGATCAACCCTCGTACATGTCAGTTATTAAAGGGGGAGTTTCGATAAGGCCGTTTTTCGGCCCCTCACGAAATTTTATGAAATTTTGATATTTTGTAGAAAAACTTCTAAACTTCCTAAAAATATGAAAATAATTTATGTTACGCATTTTCCGGTCACGTGATAATTGAAAATTTAAGTATACCCCCATTTCGTATATTTTGGGAGTAGACATTTTCATAGGGGGAAAGTGGATTTTTTAACTGTCAAAATGAAATAGGATAAATATGAATAAAGACATAAATTAACCAATCTCAACAATTTTTTTACGGAAAATGGTGTTTATCTTATGCCAATGTTTTTTTAAGGTACGATATTTTTCTGGTGTGTCAAATGTTACTTTTCTTTAAAAGAGGATGGATTTAACTTATGAAACGTAAAATATATAGAAAGATTTAACATCATAATTAATCGACAATTTATACATAAACTATATAATCAATATTTAACATTTTCCCATACGAAAAATGCAAATGAAAAGATATGTAGACATGAGATAGGTGAATGTAAAAACGTCATATACAGGTATATGCACTACATTTTCATCAATAAGGTTATACAACTACATGTTTTATAAAAATATACCTTAGTATCATAAAATTGAAATTAAATAACATGTTTTGAAATAAAAAGATTAAAAAAATATTTTAAATACATACATGAATAAAAAGTTTACTTAAAAGCATCATATTGCTAGGTAAGCCAGTACATTGTAGGTGCAAGGTAAGAAAAATATTTTATCTGGCGTTCGCCACATAATTATTCGGCGGCCGCTAGAAAAATTTGGCGGCGGCCAAATAGTTTTCCTGCGGCCACCACATAAATGACTGGCGGCGACCAGAAACTTATCTGTTGGCCGCAACATAAATAACTAGAATCCGACAAATAAGTTCCTTGCGGTGTAGACATGTAATCTAATAAAACATAAATCTAAAGTTATGAGGTGAAAACCTTATGAAGTGAATTTTTGTATGAAGTGTAGATTTTATCTTTGCTAATAAGGCATGAAACTCCAAGATTTGACTTCAAAGAGAAGTTGTAGATGTCGTTAAGATGGCTGGGGGGTTGTGGCCATTTTCAGACTATATTGATCTCCTTCAGAAGAAGAGCTCCATATAAAGATATACAAAAATTATCAAATTTTAAAACAAAAATGTATGAAATTTTTCTTTGCCAAATAATAGTTGACAGCTTAAGATATCATATCTAAAAAATTAAGTTATATCTGATGGTTAATTTGTTGACCCCCCAGCCTCCTTAAAGGCAGAGATTTTAAGCACCGCCTTCGAAAATACCTGGTCTGTGTACCTCTGTCAATCAAGTGCATTGAGGTATATCATTGGGTGCTACAATTTGATTGGCAAAAACACTACAATTTTATCTGGCGGCCGCCAGATATTTCAATGGCAGAAACTTATCTGGCGGCTGACAGATAACATTTTTTTTTACCTTGCACCTACTGGCTTCTGTATATTGCAATGTATTTGATAATATGAATGATATTGATTACAGTCAAAAGTATTTTATCATGATACGTAATATGATGGAAAAATCTATAATGCATTAAATTTTCCTTCTCATTATGAAACTTATAAGTATTTGCCCACATAGATCTGCATTATGTTTTCAGCGTAACTGAGAGAATCCCAGCCAGGACTTATTTCCTCTCGCTTCTCAAATCTCCAGAGATACTTAAGTTTTTACACCATTTCTAGTCACTTCTCATTTAGAGAGTACTAGAATTCATTATATATGATTTGCTAGAACAGAGCGCAGTTCGAAATACATGTGAAAACGCCAAAGATATGTGTTTAATCCGTAATCAAGCAGACATATGCCCCTAGACATCCAGACTTAAAACAAGCCACGTTTCCTATATCAACCACACATAAATACATGGGTGCCTCTCTAGCATGTCGGAGCGTGGATTTCTATTTACAAGAAAGTCAAAAATATAACTATGCATGATGAATAACATTAAGGAATGGACTTGCTCGAAAACTTATTTTTTGTTCAGTCAGTAGGAAAATGTAAGAAAGATGCAGCATCTGAACCATGTCTGGTAATGTGCAATCCTAGATGCATCATCAATGCAAGTTTGGTCACGATGGGGCTTATAGTTATATAAAAATGAGACCAGCTTCAAAATCTTTAACCTGCTCACTTATTAATGAAATGTAGGTCATATCCAGCATCTGAAGCAATATAGTAGTGTGCATCATAAAGCAAGTCTGGTCAACAAGTGCTTTCAGCTGCTCTGCTCCAAAAACTTAAACCTGCTTTTAAAACACTTACTTGGACATTCTTTGACTAAAAATCCAGCATCTGAAACCTGACTGGTGACAAGGAAACACGCTGGATCATGTGACTCTGATTAATATAGGGCATAGATATACTTGAAAAAAAAAATCTGCTTCAAATACTTTTACCTGAAACACTGATGCCGACGGTATTACGAAAGCTCCCCAAACTTCAAGGAGGTGAGCTAAAAATGTGACGTTAACGTTATACGTTGGCAACAAAAAAAACTGTCGAAATGAAGATAGGATACGATAATGTTTTCTACTGTTAATATAATTGAGAATCTTCTTTGATTTAAAAAAAAATGCTACTTTTGGCCTAGTATTTTAACACAGAGTCAGATCAAGAAACCAGGAGCTTCTAATTTTAGATATGCAAATTTTATGCAATTTTCATTTTTTTGGATATGAAGTGCACACGTGACACTCATCATATTTCAAGAAATTAGTGTGCAGAGTATATCTAATTACTGAAAAAAATTAGGTGAGTGTCCCTCATGCACTTCATATTCTAAACATCGATTTTTAAATGCCACCCTCTTATATTTTCCCATAAGCCTAATGTTAACGGATCAGAGGGTACATCTAAGTATGTATCAGCTACGTTGTGAATTCATCTCATATTAACCTCTGAAATGTAAATAACAAAAGTTAATATATTTTTCTTGAATTCTTAACTAGTTTTGAAAAAATAAATTGAAATTTATTTTTATGAAAAAAAGTGGGCCGCTGAGCGACCTTATCGAAACTCCCCCTTTATATAATATACAGTATGCATAAGGGAGACCAAATGTATTATTACTGCATTAAGGAGACCAACTACTCTCCACATGTAAATCAGTATTCAAAACTTGAGATTTTAATACCCTAATAATTTACATGTTTAGTTACATGAACTAAATCTATTTACCTTTGTCATAACGCAAGAACTGTTTTACATTCAGCCAACTTTAACATTACACATGCATACAGTGTATGCCATGCATTAGGAAGACCAGATGCATTACTTCAACATTAAAGAAACCAACTACAATGGAACAATTAGACAGTATTCCAAAAAGTTCATTCCAATACCATAGTAATTTCCCTTAATTTGTTTGTATTTAGATGACTTAAATCAATTTATCTCAGCCAGAATTGGAACAAAAAAACTAATCATAAAAGTGGCCAAACACATGAACAGACAGATGGACATGATGATTCCTATGCTTATATACTCCCAAAGTTGCCAAAGTAGAGCAGATGCAGTGGTTAGAGCGTCTACTCTAGAGTTGCGGAGAAAGAAGCTGATCCTTACATCGCGAGTTTGAATCCCACTGTGGGACGTGGAGACCCGTTCTTCAGATGAGACAGAGGTATTAACCGAGGTCCCATGTCACAGTAGGTGCTGGCTCGATAAAGATCCCTCAATGCTCAATGGCCGTAAGTGCTGAGTATAGGACAAAAATTTGCAGCTCTCCACTGACAAGTGGTGGCGTCTCCATATGAGTGAAAAATTCTCAAGAGGGACGTTAAACAACAAACACTCTACACCCAAAACGTTGTTTGCAGAAGATTTTGTGATACATGCTTTACAAGTATACATATTGTTCATAAGGGAATAAAAATGCTATAATATATCATTAAGGAAAGCAACTGAAATTAAATGTGCACTTCTAATTGAACTAAACAAAATCACCCTTTGTCAGAATGTAGATTTATAAACAGGAAGGCTGTTTTTCTTCATTTTTCCATGTCAGATTCAGACTGTTCTTGAAAAAATTCTGGCATTCACCCTGTAAAAGTGAAGAGTGCAGATAATAAAGAGCTTCTAAATAAACTGCATAATATTTAAATGATCCACTTAAAAGGGATAACAAATGCATTTAACTCCATCAAGGAGACCAACTGATATCCATATATATATATAAATCAGTACATGTATTTTAATTGTGATATTTTAATATCCTAGTAATTTACATGTTTAGTTTCATGAAATAAATCTAGTTACCTTTGTCCAATGACCAATGAGCACAAGCACTGATTTTTCCTCTTTTTTTTTAACGGAATCACCAGGGCCAGTCTGCGGTCCATATGATTCTGGCATATGGGTACAGTCCACTAATTGTTTTCCCATAGGCGGCAATGTTAACGTTTCTTCACATAGTAATGTCCCTAATTTTCGTTCAGCAGTGAGTGACCCCTCAAATCAAAGCACATCAAGTTGTCTTTCCTTGGTTAAAATCTCGAGGTGGCATGTCAGATTCGTTTTCCGGCAAAATGCGTCTGTCTGCGTTAACCTCTGAAAATGAAAGTGAAAGTAGGGGAATTCCAGACTTCTCACTGGTGTTATAATACATAAAATAATTCTGCTGATCTTATTGATAAATTACATCTGCCAAGCTTTTTTGCAAGGGAACATACTCCTTATCAACAAGTATGAGGCTCAGTTTAATACATGATCACAGTTTTTTTTATTCAGGTCTACAAATTAAGGAACTTGTAATTTTTTCTGCACTACTTTCTTCCCCTACCGATTCTAAAAATAATTAGAGGTATGTACCCAATATGAAAGAGTATTTTCTGGATTTTACAACATTTTACATCATAAGTCATACTACAGTCTATGTAGTGACACTATGCCAAATTTCAGGAAAATTCAATCATTAATAAAGATTTTACAGCATGCACAGTTCTATATGCAAAATCCTTTAAAAATGCTTCCATCTAGCCACAACTGCACCCACATTTTAAGTCATCGGTTAGCCTATTAATGTACTTCTACCACTTTTATTCTCTTTCATGACTTTAAATACATCAAGCAAAATTACAATCAAGCACTCATATGGGTCCATTTCTCTTATTTCAAAAAATCAATGCATTTTCACACAAAATTTGATCATCCCTCACCCTTGAATTCATTGTTTCTCCATGATAGACAAAAATATTAAGTCTACAAATACCCCAAAAGTAAAAAAAATAGAAAGTACTGATTATTTCCTGTCCATTGATGTATCATTCAAGAAAATTGGTGTAGGAATAAAAAAGTTATAAGCCTATATATTCTTGTGTACATTCATTTGTTTCAAAGCAATTTTTACGCCAATGCAAGTTCACTCATCTATGATGTCATAATGACATCATAATAATGGATTGCTTATTACACATGTAGTGTTACTTTTCCCGTACTTTTAATTAAAAGATGAAATTAGAACTAAAATATTCATTATAACTATAAGATAATAAAAATACTAGCATGAGCAGATCAAATAAATAGTCTACAGAAAATGTTTTGTTTCCATGGTAACCATTTTGTAATTTGTAGAAAAATGAAAGAGAACTTTGAAAATTTTGAATTTCCTTACAAGTCGCTCGTTTTGACTGACAAATATTAAAGAAATTTTAACTCTTATATTTTTTAATCTTAATATTTTATCATACACAACACTATGAATGTTAAATATTGTTTTGAAATTCTTTTCAAATTATATTAGCTGTAAAATATATAGCATACATGTACAGATTAGTTTGATGGTCACTTTCATAGCTTAAATATTCATTTAAAATCTACATTTTCTAAGCTTTAACACCACCTCCCTCCCCTCCACCCCCCCCCCCCCACACACACACACACACAAAGAAGCTTTAGAAAATTCAACTTACATATTGAAAGTACTGCCATCATTTTACATGTGAAGACTCAAGATGTGTTCAAATGAGTTTGTTTTTACTGACTGATAGCTTTAAACACCATCTGCATGAACCTCGAAGTTGTCCTGTATCACCATGAACCTAAAAAAAAAAATCAATTTAAAAAATGGTGCAATAATTTATCAGCATCAAAAGCACCTAAAACATTCACAGACAGACACCAAACACACACAATCCTACCACATTCCTTTTATGCCCATAATCTAATATCAGTTGAAAATTATGAATTTGCACTGATTAGTCTCAACATTGTTAAATTACATGTAAATTAATAATACAGGTAAAAAGCATGTTTACTGACAATAATTATACATTAGACAAATACACGTAATGCAGTTAATACATGTAAAATATAAAAAATGTTAGTGTGCATGTTCACGCACACACTGCTTAACTTCCACAGAACTGTAGCCTGACCAACTTCTTTGAAAGAACGCACATGTATACTATGTCCTCATTCATGTATTTCTATTCCATGCAAATAAAAGTTTTCATTTACAAATATTGTAATAAGGCATGGAAACCTTTTTTTTTTCTTTACCTCTTTCATAAAATGACAAGTGCATTTCACCTACATACTGCAAGACTCTGCACTAGGTAGCACTAAGCAGTTTCGATAACTTACTGCCACTCTACTTTCACTTTGACCTTGAACTTCACTGAATACTGATTCCGACCTCATTTGTGAATTTTTGTGTATTGAAAATAAACAATAGTGGTGGATGTACTTCTAAAATAACTGTTCTTTTTCTAAATATCTATTAATGGCTCTGGATTAATAAATTGTATAAAATCGATACATTTAATTTACATGCTACATGTACATGTGTACACAATGGAAGATATAAGCATAAGCTGTCTGTTCCTAAGGGGGTAAGGGGGGGGGGGGGCTATTAACAAATCAATTTGTTTCAAAATATGTATAAACAAATTAAAATGTGCTTCCTTCATAAATCTAAACAATTGGAAATGATAGTAAACACCGAGTTCAAAACAAAATAAAGATCTATGAGAATTTTCTCTTACCAATAGGCTCCACATATTGGGTACAGTCCACTAATTGTTTTCCCATAGGCGGCAATGTTAACGTTTCTTCACATAGTAATGTCCCTAATTTTCGTTCAGCAGTGAGTGACCCCTCAAATCAAAGCACATCAAGTTGTCTTTCCTTGGTTAAAATCTCGAGGTGGCATGTCAGATTCGTTTTCCGGCAAAATGCGTCTGTCTGCGTTAACCTCTGAAAATGAAAGTGAAAGTAGGGGAATTCCAGACTTCTCACTGGTGTTATAATACATAAAATAATTCTGCTGATCTTATTGATAAATTACATCTGCCAAGCTTTTTTGCAAGGGAACATACTCCTTATCAACAAGTATGAGGCTCAGTTTAATACATGATCACAGTTTTTTTTATTCAGGTCTACAAATTAAGGAACTTGTAATTTTTTCTGCACTACTTTCTTCCCCTACCGATTCTAAAAATAATTAGAGGTATGTACCCAATATGAAAGAGTATTTTCTGGATTTTACAACATTTTACATCATAAGTCATACTACAGTCTATGTAGTGACACTATGCCAAATTTCAGGAAAATTCAATCATTAATAAAGATTTTACAGCATGCACAGTTCTATATGCAAAATCCTTTAAAAATGCTTCCATCTAGCCACAACTGCACCCACATTTTAAGTCATCGGTTAGCCTATTAATGTACTTCTACCACTTTTATTCTCTTTCATGACTTTAAATACATCAAGCAAAATTACAATCAAGCACTCATATGGGTCCATTTCTCTTATTTCAAAAAATCAATGCATTTTCACACAAAATTTGATCATCCCTCACCCTTGAATTCATTGTTTCTCCATGATAGACAAAAATATTAAGTCTACAAATACCCCAAAAGTAAAAAAAATAGAAAGTACTGATTATTTCCTGTCCATTGATGTATCATTCAAGAAAATTGGTGTAGGAATAAAAAAGTTATAAGCCTATATATTCTTGTGTACATTCATTTGTTTCAAAGCAATTTTTACGCCAATGCAAGTTCACTCATCTATGATGTCATAATGACATCATAATAATGGATTGCTTATTACACATGTAGTGTTACTTTTCCCGTACTTTTAATTAAAAGATGAAATTAGAACTAAAATATTCATTATAACTATAAGATAATAAAAATACTAGCATGAGCAGATCAAATAAATAGTCTACAGAAAATGTTTTGTTTCCATGGTAACCATTTTGTAATTTGTAGAAAAATGAAAGAGAACTTTGAAAATTTTGAATTTCCTTACAAGTCGCTCGTTTTGACTGACAAATATTAAAGAAATTTTAACTCTTATATTTTTTAATCTTAATATTTTATCATACACAACACTATGAATGTTAAATATTGTTTTGAAATTCTTTTCAAATTATATTAGCTGTAAAATATATAGCATACATGTACAGATTAGTTTGATGGTCACTTTCATAGCTTAAATATTCATTTAAAATCTACATTTTCTAAGCTTTAACACCACCTCCCTCCCCTCCACCCCCCCCCCCCCCACACACACACACACACAAAGAAGCTTTAGAAAATTCAACTTACATATTGAAAGTACTGCCATCATTTTACATGTGAAGACTCAAGATGTGTTCAAATGAGTTTGTTTTTACTGACTGATAGCTTTAAACACCATCTGCATGAACCTCGAAGTTGTCCTGTATCACCATGAACCTAAAAAAAAAAATCAATTTAAAAAATGGTGCAATAATTTATCAGCATCAAAAGCACCTAAAACATTCACAGACAGACACCAAACACACACAATCCTACCACATTCCTTTTATGCCCATAATCTAATATCAGTTGAAAATTATGAATTTGCACTGATTAGTCTCAACATTGTTAAATTACATGTAAATTAATAATACAGGTAAAAAGCATGTTTACTGACAATAATTATACATTAGACAAATACACGTAATGCAGTTAATACATGTAAAATATAAAAAATGTTAGTGTGCATGTTCACGCACACACTGCTTAACTTCCACAGAACTGTAGCCTGACCAACTTCTTTGAAAGAACGCACATGTATACTATGTCCTCATTCATGTATTTCTATTCCATGCAAATAAAAGTTTTCATTTACAAATATTGTAATAAGGCATGGAAACCTTTTTTTTTTCTTTACCTCTTTCATAAAATGACAAGTGCATTTCACCTACATACTGCAAGACTCTGCACTAGGTAGCACTAAGCAGTTTCGATAACTTACTGCCACTCTACTTTCACTTTGACCTTGAACTTCACTGAATACTGATTCCGACCTCATTTGTGAATTTTTGTGTATTGAAAATAAACAATAGTGGTGGATGTACTTCTAAAATAACTGTTCTTTTTCTAAATATCTATTAATGGCTCTGGATTAATAAATTGTATAAAATCGATACATTTAATTTACATGCTACATGTACATGTGTACACAATGGAAGATATAAGCATAAGCTGTCTGTTCCTAAGGGGGTAAGGGGGGGGGGGGGGGGCTATTAACAAATCAATTTGTTTCAAAATATGTATAAACAAATTAAAATGTGCTTCCTTCATAAATCTAAACAATTGGAAATGATAGTAAACACCGAGTTCAAAACAAAATAAAGATCTATGAGAATTTTCTCTTACCAATAGGCTCCACATATTGGGTACAGTCCACTAATTGTTTTCCCATAGGCGGCAATGTTAACGTTTCTTCACATAGTAATGTCCCTAATTTTCGTTCAGCAGTGAGTGACCCCTCAAATCAAAGCACATCAAGTTGTCTTTCCTTGGTTAAAATCTCGAGGTGGCATGTCAGATTCGTTTTCCGGCAAAATGCGTCTGTCTGCGTTAACCTCTGAAAATGAAAGTGAAAGTAGGGGAATTCCAGACTTCTCACTGGTGTTATAATACATAAAATAATTCTGCTGATCTTATTGATAAATTACATCTGCCAAGCTTTTTTGCAAGGGAACATACTCCTTATCAACAAGTATGAGGCTCAGTTTAATACATGATCACAGTTTTTTTTATTCAGGTCTACAAATTAAGGAACTTGTAATTTTTTCTGCACTACTTTCTTCCCCTACCGATTCTAAAAATAATTAGAGGTATGTACCCATATGTACACTCTGTAAAATGCATATTTGTACCATGTAGAGGCATATGAACAATATTTCTATACTACATACATGCATCATTAAACTTAATAATCTTTTTTTTCCAAAATTCATTATTCATAGTGTTTTGCTGTTAGCAAAATTCAACAAAAACTATACCGTATATATACTTGCCTATAAGGTGGTCCACCTATAAGTCAGTTGTATTTTTTGAGGTTATTTTGGAGGGATTTGCTATTGACCCGCTTATAAATTGGTACAACTTTTTGCCAGAATCAATTGACAATTTCAAATCAATGCTCTGATGTTTTAACCTGGTTTCAAAATACTAATCTTTTTATGACTCACCTATAAGCTGGACATAGAATATATACAGTACCTGCATTATACATGCATTAGGAAGACAAATGCATTATTGCAATATTAAAGAGACCATTGTGGCAAAAGAAATCAATGTATGAATTGTATTCAAAACTACGGGTGTACTAATTTGTCTGAAGTATATCATGATATAATGTGATACACAAAGACTTTAACAGGATATGTACATATACCCACATGCCTAAATGTAACAACAGGAATTATCGTTCTACAATAATTTATTGAAATTGCCAATATGAATAAACAAAAGCAAACTTTGTTTCGGTTGTATGAACTTTAAGTTTTCTTTTTCCACTACGGTCAGATAATCTAACTATCCCCCCTGGTTGGCTACCGGGTCCTTCGTTAGACTGCCTTATCGGACATGATATTTACTGAAGATTTGATTTTTGGTACTGACTTTTATACTCAAAATAATGTCTTTAATTGTTTAATTTCTTGAGGTCAATATCACTTTGATGTGTTCAGTGTTTACTTTGATATGTAATGATGTGTATAAGCGTGTATTTTCGATAATTTAAATTTCTAGTACAGTAATCATCCCCAAGCTGCTGTTTCATTATCGTGTCATAGTATCTCTGAGAGTGCATTTTATTAACACCTCCAAATCACCTGGCCTGCGTAATTAAATTTAACTACCAAAAACAACAGCTTGGGACTAATAAGGTGTGATTATCAGCAATGGTCCCATGAAGCCTGTGCTAGACCTAACGGAAACGTTCAACAGACCGTAAAATTAGCATAATGGGATTATTGTGTATTAAGGTGTGAATTCAGTGGAGCGAGAATTTGTTGGACTTCGAGATAACGCATGTGTTTATAGCACTTGGGACCGTAAATCTACTTCAAGATAAGCGAGGTATTCGAGATTTCCATGTTCGAGATACCGGGGTTTTTTAAAATCATAAATATAATAAAAACGGCTGGGACCGTTGATTCACTTCGAGATATCCGTGGTATTCGACATACCGGTGTTCGAGATACCGAAGTTTACCTGTATATCGATATGTATCTAGATTAATGAATATATCGTATCAAAAACAAGAGGCCCATGGGCCACAACGCTCACCTGAGCACATTGGCTAGGAAAAAGCACAAATCACTTCAGTATTGAAAAGTTTAAAGGGGAGGGGGCTTGGATTTTGAACTACCTGAGGATGCTTCCATATCAATATTACAAATGGCTTTACTGTTCTTGAGCAGAAGATTTTTAAAGATTTTTTTCCTATATATTCCCTTGTTAAAAATTTGATCCCCCATTGTGGACCCTCCCTAACCCCCCCCCCCTCCATCATTTGAACAAACTTGAATCTACACTACCTGAGGATGCTTCCATATCAATATGACTAAACATGGCTTTTCTGTTGATGAAAAGATTTTTTCCTATATATTCCTAGGTAAAAATTTGATCCCACATTGTGGCCCCACCCTACCCCTGGGGTTTATGATTTGAACAAACTTGAATCTACACTACCTGAAGATGCTTCCATATCAGTATGACAAAACATGACTTTGCTGTTCTTGAGAAGAAGATTTTTGAAGTTTTTTCCTATGTATTCCTATGGAAAACTATGATCCCCCATTGTGGTCCCACCCTACCCCCAGGGGTAATGATTTGAACAAACTTGAATCTACACTACCTGAGGAAGCTTCCATATCAATATGACAAAACATGGCTTTGCTGTTCCTGAGAAGAAGATTTTTCAAGTTTTTTTTCCCTATATATTCTTATGTAAAACTATGATCCCCCATTGTGGCCCCACCCTACCCCCCAGGGGTCATGATTTGAAAAAAACTTGAATCTACACTACCTGAGGAAGCTTCCATATCAGTATGACAAAACATGACTTTGCTGTTCTTGAGAAGAAGATTTTTGAAGTTTTTGATCCTCAATTGTGGCACCACCCTAACCCTGTGGGGTCATGATTTGAACAAAGTTAAATCTACACTATCTGAGAATGCTTCCATATCAATATGACTTAACAAGGCTTTGCTGTTCTTGAGAAGAAGATTTTTCAATTTTTTTTTCTGTATATTCCTATGTAAAACTTTGATCGCCCCTTGTGGCCCCACCCTACCCCAAGGGGTCATGATTTGAACAAACTTGAATCTACACTACCTGAGGATGATTCCATATCAATATGACTAATCGTGGCTTTGTTGTTCTTGAGAAGAAGATTTTTAAAGATTTATTCCTATATATTCCTATGTAAAACTTTGATCCCCCATTGTGGCTCCACCCTACCCCAGGGGGTCATAATTTGAACAAACTTGAATCTACACTATGTAATGAAGGTCTCACCTAAGTTTCAACTTTTACAGCCCAGTGGTTCTTGAGAAGAAGATTTTTAAAAGATACCACTAAATTTTCACTAATTCTTAATTATCTCCCCTTGAAAGAGGGTGTGGCCCTTCATTTGAACAAACTTGAATCCCCTTTACCCAAGGATGCTTTTTGACAAGTTTGGTTGAAATTGGCCCAGTGGTTCTTGAGAAGAAGATGAAAATGTGAAAAGTTTACGACAACGACGACAGACAACGGACAAATTTTGATCAGAAAAGCTCACTTGAGCCTTTGGCTCAGGTGAGCTAAAAATAACTTAATTCCAATACATTTTGGGCAGGCAGTTTTTTTTATGTAATTCTGTGAAAAACTTGGGAATTTCAATCACCAAAGATTATATTTACCGGTAATTGTTTTGAATTAAAACTGATCAAAAATGATATAATCATTAAGGAGGTAGCACATCTTAAATGATTATTACAAAATCATAAAAATACATAGACAACTTTACTTAACATGTTGATTTTACAGTCAAGAAAAGTTTGAATTTGAAGTGTAATTTTTAAAGACGGTGAGACAAAAAATTAAAAATGAGAAAAAAACAATTATTATTTTTATAAAATTCATGCATAATGATTTATAAGACTTTTTTGATAGAATTGTTAAAGAATTCAATATATTGCATATCGCATTAAAAAAGTCTTTCTTTTTTTTTTTTTTTTGCTCAATACACAGCCCTAGCAAAAATGATATACAACAAGGACTTTGATTGGATTATTAACATTCATTCGATTGATCATAATTATTAACTGTTATTGCACTTTCATTTTCAAAATGTTGTTAGGTACATTGTTTGTTCACTCTTTTGCATTGATATTATAATTTTATAAAAGAGTATTTTAGCAGAAAAAATTATCAATTTACCTTTCTTGGAATAAAGACATGTTGACCCTTGAGCTGAGATTTTCTCTCTTTCCATAGATTTGTTACACTGGGGTCCACATGATACTAGCAGAGACCCTGTAAAAAAGGACTTAACTATGGAAAAGCATGAAGAATATATGCCTATTATACATATCTTAAATTCTAATGAAAACAATGTTTTTTAATTAAGATCCATATATTTCTAATGATTGACATAATACAAATTCAAAATAAAATATGCATGTCTATATTATACACTATACCTTAAGCAGACCAATTGCATTATTACATCCTTCAGGAGACCAACTTAAATCAATGTTTGAGAACTACTTGTGAGAACAATAAATTTGTCTACTTTACAGTACTAAATGTACATGGAATCTATAGGATCATGTTACTTTAATTGACCTGCCTTAGTTCAACACAGTAATTTAACAAAGAAATTGAGCCAAAACAAAATTTTAAGACTTTTTGAACAGTGCATGTTCCTATCATTTCAAAACCATTACCAGTAAAAATGCTAATATAGGAAAATGATGACAATTAATTAATATTGTACTTTCAGGTATATTAGATGAATTAATCTGATTCGTCAAGAAACATTTGTTAAAAAGCACTATTATCCGCTGAATAATGAAGCCACGCCCAATGTCACAACAGTCAACATTGCTTGACGACGGGTGATATTCCAAAAAATAGTGACTGCACAGATTTATGCGCTCAAGGTTCACTATTATTTGTATTTGTATAAAACATTCAGTATAATATAATAAATATTGCATGTAGTTGAGTGTAATATTGAAAATTTTCACCCCTCGAAAACCAAATACGTCAAAAAGGGGATGGGTTTCTCCAACTTCTACATAGTTTCGCCCCTGCAAAAACTGGTATAGACCTTGGATATGTTTAAACGGGCTAAGAGAAATCAAATGCATCAAGAATACTTAATTGTTTTTACCCAAGTTACATGCCAAAAAAGATTCAGAGAGACGTCACATAAAGTTAACGTTGATTTGAACTGAAGTTAGGGTGTCAAAAGTCATTCACATCCAAAAGTGACATTGATCATGTGTGGTAGATAATAAACTCCTACGGGCTAAATATGCTGCCATAATCAAGTGAGGATCTTTCCCTAATCCTATATATAAATCCATTTAGTACAATATTATATGCACTTAAGCAGCTGTTTATGACATTGTAAAATTATATAAACAAGACCGGTTTATATAATTTATATCAATTTATATAATTAATAATATAATTTATGTAATTTTATCAAGATAAGTGTATGGGGTAGAGGGAGCAGACATTGAGAATCAATGTTGTCGGACCTCATGAAACTAAACTAACAGTCTTCCAAATAACCCGGGAGTCCAATGCCAGGGACCTGTTAAATTTGCAGCCGGGCTTGTAAAAATTGCCAAATTACATGTCCGAAGAGGGCATATGTGAATCTTCTTTCATTGTACGATCTTTACTTGCCATTTACTCTGTCCTACCCCCATTATTCGCTTAAACGTTGCTATATGTAATGTCGATGGATTGCCTGTCTACATTCTCGATACGACCTGTCAAATGATTGTCAATCTAATCATTGAAGTGTTTAGTTTAACCTATTTGTTTTCTCGAAGTTGCTTGCTAAATTACGAGATGTTCATCCATGCCACATACTGTGGCACTACAGTCATGATCCCATTTCTGAAATTCAGTTCAGCTAAACCGGCCAACAAATGACCAGCATGCAACTCAAAAGTTATTTATGAACAAAAACGCTTTAGAAAATGGCAATCACAGGCCATGGTTGGTTTACGACGCTGAAAAAATTAATATAAAACCTTTATACCTAATGGGTTTTTTTTGTTGCACAATACTGGTAAATGTAAGAATTTTGAGTAGGACATGTACAAATTTGAATGGGCTGGGTAAAAATGATAGGTCTACATGCCCGAAGGGCATGTGCTGAAAAAGAATTGTTGTGAAGACTGAACTAAAGCGACAGCGCCGGGTGATCATATAAAGTCCCCTTTATTACATAATAATTTGGCAAATTATCAACACATCAAGCTAAAATTTCCAACATATCTTAACAGTGAGAATTTTTATTTTTTAAGTTGAAACCTCGTGACCTGTGAAAAAAATGAAATTTGTATCCCATCTAAAGTCTTAAAATGTATCAAGGTAATTTTCGATACAAAAATGCGGTTGGGGTTATAAATGAAGGATAAAACCAGAGACCTCGGAATGGAATACTCTGAAGTCTCTGGTTTTATTCTACCCCCAACTGGAAGTTGTATCCAATCTAAAGTCTTAAAATGTATCGAGGTAATTTTCGTGGAATAAATGAGTGCTTTACAATAAAGAGACTCGACCAGAGATGTCTGAAACGATTTATTTGACAAGAAAAAAGTCTCTTGAAGCGAACGATGTCATTTTAAAGTAGGTTAATGATTGATAATGATACATGAACAAAATACGAGCTTGAAGCGGGGGTGCCTGAAATTGAGTTAGATACCTTGTGGTAAAAATAAGTAGGGGTGCACCGTATATGAAACAAGTGCCTGTGATTGATAGTCTGAAATTTCTCTTCACCTAAATATTAAAAGCTTGCAGTGATCGCTATAAATCTATACAACAGTCAAGTTACATATGGTAAACTAACATAAAAACAAGATTACAACAGTCATGATTACAGAAGGTATATTTTGAAGACTCTAGGTCAGTAGGTGAATGTAAACAGGTAAACACACGTGGGACAGTCACCGCAAATATGAACCACAAAACGACTTATAACATTAAAATGTAAATATTCATCTGCACACAGATTTTTGCATAATAATAATAATTTTTAAAAGTGTAAATTAAAATATAAAATAAACAAACCTCAAACCTTGTAACAAGGCTTGTTTCCCTACAATCTTATTCTGGTTCTCTGTGGTTCGCTGAAAATGCAGGGAACCAGGCTGCGTTATTAACTCGTACACAGATTTGTTGATACGAATAAACCTATAAACATATATACGAAATAAAATATTATCATAAAAAATGAAGAATTTCAAATTGCTTGAAAAATTATCTTTATGTAGTTTATAATAAATGGTTGTAATTGTTTATTAATTTCTATCTATCCATTAAAATTTTATACGTATATCAGCTTAATATGTATCCGTCTGAAAAATTATTGTTATTACACTCCCTGTCACATCTTCATAGTTAAGCCTGTAAGCATGGTAAGTAAGAATCAATTTCAGTTGAAGGGGACCAAAACCAAACATTTTTCAGTTTCATTTGGTGGGGAGGGGGGGGGATATAAACCTCAAATGATTATTTTATCTCTGTCACTGAACTGCTGAAAATAATGAAGGGAACTAGGCTGCGACAATGATTTGTTGACAGAATTAAAATACGAAATAAATTATCATACATACGAAATAAAATAATTTCATGAAAAAATGAAGAATTTCCAATTGCTTAAAAAAAGAAGCTTTTCATGTATGTGATTTACAATAAATGTTTGTACTTTTATATTTTCTATATATCCATTAAAATTTCACAGTATCAGTATTTCACTATTTGTAAACATTAACAATAATATTAAATAAATGTTACACTCACTGTGGCTTTGACTGAGTTACTGTCACATCTTCATAATTAAACGAGAATATTCCCTTCCGTAAATATTGCTAAATATATCTGAACTGTTACCAATTCATCTTTCTTTGGTGAAAGAAAACCTCAGGGATGGAGAATAGGCCCGTACGTAATTTAGTTGGAGGGGGGGGGGTGAGCACAACCAAACAACATTTTTCAGTTTCAGGTTGGGGGAGGCTACAAACCAAAAAAAATTTTAATAAGCAAAAGAAAAATACATTATCAGAGGTTATTATTGAGGGGGCCCAAAAGCAAAAGAAAAATAGATCATCAGAGGTTATTATTGAGGGGGCCCAAGCATAAAGGAGCAATGTTTTCTATAGTATACCTAAATTTCAGCAAAATTACAGGGGGCCTGCCCCCCCCCCTTTCCTTCAGCCATGTATTGTATCAAATCTGCTTCACCCTGATTCAGATTTTTTTTTACAGCATATATATTCTTTTAGCAGAGGACCACATTATATTAATAAACAATTATTAAATTACAGCTATTTTTTTCTTACAGGGTCTGTTTCATTTATACTATATCATGATGAACATGTCCTGCATGATGTTTACAGAAAGTTTAATTTAAATTTTTAAGCTCGAAATAGCTGCGTCAACTTGCGAGACTATTTTTTTCAACGTTCGGCCTAATCTTTAAATATTTAATTTGTTTGTGGACTTGCATAAAAGAATTTAAAAAATATAGGGGCCTATCATTTAACTTTATTTCGAATTTCCTTCAGGATTTTATATACCGAACTATAGTCTAACGATTATTTAAAATCATACTTTTTCTCTTGAAAGCTAAATTACTAGGCAAAAAAAAAAAAAACAACAAAAAACCCAAACGAATGTTTGTCTTGTGTATTCTTAATTACAACTTATTACTGTATCATTTTAGTTACTTACCCAAATTTCTCAACATCCATGGTGTTCAGAGGTCATTTTCTGAAAACTGAAGGGGCATTCCGATGGCATTCGGAACAAATGACGGAAAGCACTTGCTAAGAATTCAAAACATGGTTCATAAATTTACAATATTTTTCCTTTTTAGGTTTTTAACATAAAACATGGAAAACTAAGTTAAAGAAACACTCATTTGAACAAATCAAAAGCGGAAAAAATATATATGCTAGATTTTTTGTTTAATTGCATGTTTTTCATGGTCTCCAAAATGCAGAAAAATTATCCTTTGAAATTATACGTAGGTTATAAATTCTTTTCTTTTTTAGGGAAGATGATAGAAATTAGACAACTTTTGAATGTTAAATAACAGAGTTAAAGATTAATAATATTTAATGGCAGACTGTTTATTTATCTATAAAAAGACATTTGCAATACTGATGAGGTCAAAATAATAGGGAGACCGAAAAAGGTCGCCTTAATCCAGTGGTCTCCCTAAGCCAGAAAATATATCCTCCTTGGTCTCCTAAAGCCATATGTCATATATATATATATATATATATATATATATATATATATATATATATATATATATATATATATATATATATATATATATATATGAATTGTAATACCAACATTTCATGTTGCAAAATTAATTTCAATCAGAGTAGAATGTTTACATGTACATCAGTAAACTATTGCTAACTGACCTAAGTGTATTACTTTTAAGTATATTTTTAAAAAAAATGCATTTATATGAGAGGGAGTAAGTTAACAAGTGGTTCGCTTAGTCTCGGGACTTGAAGTGATCAAAGTTTATTACATGTTATTTTTATCACTGGTATTATTTTATCACAGTATTATTTTTCCAGTCATATTTACAAATTTAAATTTTCTGCAATCAAGATTATCAATGTTTTTTTTCTTTCTTTTTTTATTGTAAAATCTTGTTGTTGTTTTTTTTTATTACTTCCTTCCTGTTTAGCTTCGGTACATTACATATGATTGCGCCCATGACAAAAGGGCCTTATGGCAATTTTGTTAAAACAGAGAAATAACGTCAAAAAGATATGACGTTGCAGACGGTGAGCGTCGACGCAGATTTTTTTATCCACGTGTTTTACGTTTTGACACGTCTAGCTCACTTTTGTCGTTGTTCTCAACATTGAAATAATTATTTATTTTTATTTATATCTTTAATTCACGTCTTGATCTTCTAGTCCACTGATATTAATTAAAATATTTAGATTTTTATTCGAGACCCGTTTCTTTACTACATGTTATATTGTAGCTTTATATACGTCTCTGATATCTGGGCTGTGTATTATACATGTATAGAAGCTTCAGACAAGGTGATTTTCTGGATAATTGAATGTGGATGAACGAATGCGATTTTGATATATAGACAAATTGAAGTTATTTGTTAGACACGTGTATATTATCAAAATATTGCAGAGGAAATCGTTTTCCTGTATAAGATCCGCCCCACCATTCTCAACACATCGATCATGTAAACATTGAAGCATTGGTACATCGTGCATAAATTTTTGATGTAAAATGTTTTAATTGCTAAAAAATTGAAACTGATCACACTTCCTCCAACAGAAAAGAAAAGTATTCTTTTAAGTTTTCACAAATCTAGCAACGAATGATAGACGTGATATTATTTTTAAGAACTATAAATAAAAACAAGAGAGGTAACTCTGACAAGCGATATACTAGAGAGGTACCAGAGAGGGACTTTCTTTTTTTTTTTTAACACCATTCAAAATCAACATACTCATACAAATTTGCTCCCGTAGTATAAAAAATATTTTTAAAAATCTTACTTATCATCAGTTAAAAAACGTTTTAATTGTAAGTATTATATTTATATTTTCTTTAAAAGTATTTTTGAAAGCTCATGGAACTAGCTGCTGTCAAAGTGAAAGAGGAAAAAAAAATATAGAATAAGAAAAGATGCTACATTGAACAGACTTTCATTTATTTTTTAAATTTGTTACATGTGCATCTATTTCAACATGAAATTATTTTTAAAAATAACTTGAATTTTATTTTTTTTTCCAGTAATAATGATCATGAATTTAAATAAAATAAAATGAAATTTAAAAAAAATTTTCGTCTTATTTTTGTTGTTGCCACTTCCGATATAAGTACTTGAAAACAAACAAAAACTACCGAATGAAATGAAATTGTTCTAGCTTAAAAAAAAGTTTACATGTATGTATACCTGATGTGTGTGTGAGAGAGGGAGAGAGAAAGAGAGAGAGAGAGAGAGAGAGGTTACATTAAATCCAGTTTATTAATACAATGTGAAATGTGAAACTTTAATGAAAGGGCGAATTTTCAAAACACAACAATATCGTATTATGAAAAGAAATCTCTATCCCTTGGTACTCGTACGTGTTGTGCATAAAAAAGTTCAAAGGCTTTAGCTTTATCTGCAGTTTTAAGTCACTTACAAGTCAAATATATATAATGCTTATCATTCATAGAATCTCAGCATTGTATGTCATTACAGTTCTATTATCAATCAAAAACTCGTTTTCTTATTGAAATAATAATCTCAGTTATCGGTTAAGTATGATATTGCTTAACTTGCCGTTGAATTATGTAAACGGGCTGATTTTTGTTATTTGGATTTATTGAAATAAATCTTTTTAAGATCAAATTGTATTTAAATATGCATTGTACAAATTAAATTAAATGCTAAAAATATACTGCACAAAAGACTAAGAATATGTTTGCAAGTTGTTTTTTTTTGTGGCAGTGCAGGAGACCGGGGAAGAGGGCCAGGGTCATTTTATATTACCGGGACCTAACTACTTTACAGTTTATCTGTAAAGCTTTACAAGGATAAGCATATCCAAGTCTCTGGCATGGGGCCTGAATGGAATTTTTATATTGTAAAACTTCATATACAATAACATTTGAAAACAATAACATTAGAATTTCATACGATAAAGAAGCCGCGAGAAATGGGGGGGGGGGGTGTTCTACACACACCATCACATAACAATATTTACATGTACCTAAATGTGTGCCACATCGTAAAAATTTGTCATTTAAAAACTCAGCCAGTCAACGAATATTATGAACCAGTCGCATTTAACTGACTGTATATATAAAACTTTCAATTAATTTTTACACCCCCCCCCCCAGCCGAAAAAAATCTATTAATTAATCTGCATGTCATTGATTCATAACGACAACATATATATAATTATTTATGATTTATTTCTTAGAAAAATCTATTTAATATTAATTTTAAAAAATGACATATTGATTTCATTCAAAGTTCAGATAAAATTTGTTGAAATGACAATAAAATACCCGATATCTATTAATACGCAGTGTATACATGTACTTCTAAAACCATTTAATTTTACAAAATCAA